CTGGGTGATAATGACTGCACAGTAGTGTCATGTCACAGGTCATGCCCTGCGACACTGCTGTGCAGTACTGATGAACTACTGTGCAGTAGTAATGAGCTATTGCTCAGTAAGGTCCTTGTTGAGATGCAGCCAATGTGTAGTTTAACTTGCAGGACTCACTGCTACAGGAAATTATAGAGGTAAATAGTATAACCAGGCTCAAAAAGGCTTAGAGAAACTCATAGAGGCCAGATACACAAACAGCTATTAAATAGAATAGGGATGGTTAATGCCAAGGACAGTATGAGAGGAGATGGCTTTCACTAGCCATCCCTGTACATATACTGTCCTAAGACATTATAGACTTAGATGTGCTTAAGTGGACTAGTATGATCCAGTATGACACATCTTATGTTCTTACGTCACTTTGACCTCAAGAAAAATATTCATGGCCATGTCCAGATGAGCGTGGATGTTTGGTTCCCTGGGGACAAGTAGCAGTGGTGCACCTTGTGCTGCAGCTATTTGTCCTCAGGGAACGCCCATGCCACACACACTTTGGCACACTGCAAGTTAACCTGGGGGCATTGGGAAAGGCTGGGGCCAGCACAGTGCTGGCCCCAGCAGCCTTACCTGGGGTCCTGGGGGCCTTCCCGGGCTGCAGCAGTGGCAATTGTACTGAGTGGAGCCTGACTGGCAGCCGGAGCACAGTTCTGGGTGGCCTGGCTCCACTTTTCAGTAGTGCGCACTGCCTATGCATGTACTACTCTGTTTTTTTTTTTCCCCATGGGTTTTTTTGACCCCTGGATATCCACTGTTAACTACACATTGGCTGGATATCCAGGGGTCAAGAAAAAAACCCGCAGAAAAAAAAAAAAATGGAGCAGCACACGCATGGGCAGTGTGGCCTTGCAGTGCGAAGAACACATGGTTGTTCAGTATGTAGCGCTGCAGACATGTTTGCGGCACCACACACTGCACGGCTGCACTCGTCTGGATGCGCCCCATGTATTTAAATAGTCATATGATGAATTGGAGCCCAGGAATATAGGGCTTTGTTTAATCTCAGTCGATAACTAGCTGTGTAACCTTGAGTAGCTTATTTATTTACCCACTTCTCCCATCTGAAATATATGTGCAGTACTTCCATAACAGTGCTGTTATGAAGCTTAAATAATATCTGTTTCAGTGTCTCTGCAGTCTTGCAATGAAAGTCAATATCTAAGTGCTAAGTATTAAAATAAAAAAAGAAAAGAACTAACTGTAAATGACAAGCAACACTGCAGTAACAGCTGAAGTCGGGGCCACTTGTGAGGCATACTTTGTAGTACTGCACAAATACATGGATATTTCATGCTATTCCACTTCAGTTCTACTACTCATACTTTTAATTGTTTTAATAAGGAAATGCTATCAGCATTAGGTAACACTCTTCTGTACAAGATATACGACTCATTACTGTGTTCCATTAACATCTCTGCCTTAAGATTGGAAAGATTTTAAAATATCCAGTCTGAAGACTGAAGTTGATTTCTAGTGCTAAGAAATCAGTCTTGCTTCTCCTGCATTGTGCTCACCTATGTAAGTTTAAGAAAAGCAGTCCGTTCCTCAAACAAGAATGGTGAATGAGGTGTAGAAAATAAGCAGACATTATTATTCCATAATGCTTTCTTAATGTCCCTGGTTCACTCTTTGTTATTGCACCCAAAGTAAATATGAGTGATAATAGCCACCTTGTAGGAACATATTTCTTTATTAAGCACATTTTTTCTGCTATAATTAACTGTAATGCAAGAGACTGGTATCTGATTAAATTTTTAAATCTACTGATTCAAGTCACAGTAAGCGCTTACATTCCTGC